GTCGAGATTGTTCGCAGCCACCGGCTCGGCCGTGAGGACGCAAGACCTGCAACGTGGACAGTATACTGCCGGCCGTATACAGTGTCTTGATCAACTTGGAAGACGCAGTTCGGGTTCGAGACAGACGACTCCGCAACCCATCCGAGTCGAAGCAGAGTCGCAACGACAAAGCAGCCCGTCTATCTGCGACGTGACAGCAGATCAGGGCAGGTGCGTTGTGCAGAGGCGGTGCCATGCAATCTTTGTGTTTTTCATCACGCTGACGGATACGTAGCGCAGGAGAGGACGGCGCCGGACGCTCTCCGCGGCAGAACGACCCGAGGCGCCGGACGTGGACTGAACGTTATGTCAGAGGTCAACAGCAATGCTCCCTTCCCAGCCGGGTCACTCACGAGTCGGGTTCTCCGCGCCGTCGTCGTTCGAGAAAGTTGAACAAGTTAAAGAAAGGACTGGTGATGTTCGACACAATTCTATCGGGGGGGAGGACATTGAAAGGGGCTACCAAGAGCTAAGATGTTGGACAGCCCCTGGGTGGTGATTTACGGGGTGCTGGATGTGTTGTAGGAATAGGGAAAGTGATGAGGGGAAGCGACGTTGGATCTGCTTCATGGCGTCTGGGGCAGCCAGTAGGAAGCTGCCTGTGACCTTCGGCCTCCAGCCTTCAGCCTTCGCGGTTCGGTACGACATGGCAGGGAGAGGCAGGGGCAGGCAGGGGCAGGCAGCTTGGACAGTTGAAAAGTTGCAGCTCCTATTGGAGTTTGTGTACAGGCGAGTGGATGGACAAGGCCTGGTAGATTCAGGATAGAGAATGGGCAGCGTCTTTCTTCCTGTTTATAACCCACGGCAGCGGCATATTTGGGGAACCCGTGCCAAGCCAACAGCTCTCTCAGCACACCCTCCTCCGAGCGTCTCGCTCAGCTGATTGGCCGTCGAGGGAAACCGCGCGCTATATGCAGCCACAATATCGCGAATTTGGGCGGATGGCGCGCTTCCGGCTGCTGCTCATGCGAGGTTCATCACAAGCACAAGCACGAGCACAAGCACAAGCACAAGACGGGACGGAGCCGATGTGGCAGTGGATAATTACTGGATACTGCAGCCATGGGCATGCCGTCGTATCACACACCACGGTAATGGCCCTGGCAGCCAATAGCCAATGGGGGGGGGTTGTTGGAGCAAGACGAACACTTGCTCAATGCATTAGCGGATCGGATACCCGCAGGCAGAGAGCATGGGCGATGTGGTCCAGCTGAGCTCTCGTCATCCCCCTGGCTGCTGCCGCTGCTGCTGCTGCTGCCAGACTGCCAGACTGTCAAACTGCCCAACTGCCCAACTGTGATTGCGCTGCCGGTTGGTTGCCAGAAGGAGAAGTCCGTCCCGAAGTGTATACCAGATTGATCACTAAGTGGCCTTCCCCTCACTACGCTGGCAGGGCGACTTCTTGCAGGAAAGACATGACATGGCCGAACCAACATGCTCGGCGGCAAGCAATATTGAAGGAGCGGGAGCGATAAGAGCCAAAGGCCCACTTACAATACGACGCCAAGCATGCAGAACATGGGAATATCACGGGACGGGTAGCGCCCGCGGAATATCAGGCCTGGGGGGTCAACCCACCGGGGGACGCAGGCTGAAGCTATTCAGAGTTAGCATCGCCCACCATGGTGGCGTCCAAACATGGAAATTCATGTTTGCAGGGGAACCCAAAAATACGTCTCCCAAAATTAACCACGAATTCAAGAATAAACCACATTATGATTTTGGGGGCCGGATCCAGACAGACATGCAACAATGGCGCTTCCATTGGTGGCGCTGCGAGAGCCTCCCATACACGATGGATATGCACATTTCTCGATGGATTGTCTCAAAGCTGCGGACTTCTTGGCTGGGCTCTATTGCGAAGCTAGAGTTGGTCACACCGAGTGACTCACAGCACAGCGTGGCGGAGCAGCTCCTACAAACTCATGTAAAAAGCGATTCGGCATTAATTCAGCCCCGATTGCATTTGCTTCGTTAGACTTCGAGAAGAAAAAAATACATCTTCTTGATCGCAATGCCCTCCCGACGCGCAGGTCCCCGGCTCGTCGAGCTCGACGGCACAACCGGCGAGGGAGGCGGCCAGGTGGTGCGGCTGGCCGTCTGTCTAGCCGCCCTCACATCCCAGCCCATCCGCATCACCAACATCCGAGGCAGCCGCTCCAAGCGAGGTTCGTCCCCAATCACCAGCCCAGATGGTTTGAGTTTGTTTGCTCACCTCTCAGGCCTCAAGAGCCAGCACTTCACCGCCATCCAGTGGCTCGCCCAGGCCACAGAGGCCGACGTCGAGGGCCTCGGCGTCGGCTCCCACACCCTCACCTTCAGCCCTCGAAGACCCCCGACCGAGCTGCTCCAGCGCAACGTCCGAATCACCCCCCAGTCCAGCGCCTCCAGCATTCTCCTCCTCGTCCAGGCGCTCCTGCCCTTCCTGCTCTTCGCGGGAAACGACGCCGGCGACCCCATTGAGCTGTCGCTGACGGGCGGCACCAATGTTTCCTTCTCCCCCAGCTACGAGTACTTCGACCAGGTCTTTCTGCCTGCGCTGGAAGAGAGCTTCGGCGTCAAGGTAGAGAGGGAGCTCAGACAGCGAGGGTGGAGTCTTGGCCCGCAATCCCGCGGTTCTGTGTGGTTGAAGATACAGCCGCTCGCAAGGGGGGGAAGCTGTCCTTCATCCCTCCCCGCCCTCGCGCATCTTCCGAACCACACCAGGTCAAGGTTATCCATGCTTCCATTGTGGTGCCGGAGGATGCGCACGAGACCCTCCGGCAAGCCGTAGCCCACCATGTCAACACCCTGTTCCCAGGCTCCGAGGTCAACTTCAAAATCGTCGAGGACTCCAAGTCCGACGCCCGGTGGTTCATCTTCCTCGTAGCGGAGTCGCACAGCGGCTCACGTTGGGCTGCCGACGTCATATGCTCAGCATCAAAGAAATACAGGTCGCGGGATGATTGGATACAAAAGGTGTCTCGCACGCTCTGCCAGCAGCTGCACACAGAGGTGCACGTGGGTGGTGTGGTCGATGAGCATCTACAGGATCAGTTGGTCTGCTTCCAGGCCCTCTGCGATGGCTTCTCCTCGTTTCCCCGGGATGAAACATCCGAAGGCCCAGCAGATGCGGTTGCCAGCATCATGGACAGCGTTGGCCTCGGGGATAGCAGGATGAGGAGAGAAAAGACTCACGAGCCGTTTGGCCATGGGTCGACGCACACAAAGACGGCGCGGTGGGTAGCGGCCGAGCTGCTCCCCAAGGTTAATTTCTTCAACAAAGGAGACTTGGTCCAAGGCGTAGGGATGGCATTCGACTGAGCGGGGAGGCGGCGCAAAGCCCGATATACCCATTGTACACCAATTCTTTGCTACGAGCGTAAGCGAGCAGTGCCATGCACGGTCATGAATCAATCTTAAGCTGCCGACCGTGCTGTGTTGAGACAAAGCCGTCTGCGTCAGTTCTGCCCTCTAATTACAGCCCTTCAAGGCAGCTCTCCAAAGCGATACTGCGCAAAGGCAAAGCTACCCTCCTGGAACGTCCATGTCTGCGTCCCCGCATCCTCGCCAGCAGCGCCAGCAGCGATAAAGACTGGCATGAGATGGTCCATGAAGGGATGCGCCTGTCTTGCGTCTGGCCTTTGACAGACGGCAGCCATCCTCGCGTCGCGCACCGACACGTCCGCCTCAACTGCCTCCTTGAGCGCATTATCAAAGCTAACAGAGTATGGCAGCGCTTCCATGTTGCCTTCAAACATCTGGTGCATGTCACGGAGATTGTGGACTGACATCCCCGCCCCGATGATGACGATGGATTCCTCGCGCAGAGCGGACACGGCGCGGCCCAGGGCAAGGTGCGACCCGGGTGACTCGCTCTTGAAGAGTGAGACCTGCACTAGAGGAACACTTAGTGGGTTCGTCTCTGGGTCGAATGCTGGTCCTGGTCAGCGGTTGGCTCATGGGGAAGCCAGCAGCGATTGATCTTACCCACGTTGAACCCGGACCAGACGCCGTGGTCCAGGCCGCGCTTGAGGCCGCGCGCCTTGATCCCGGCGTCGGACAACAAAGTGACGATTCGGCTGGCTATCTCTGGGCTACCAATGCTCGGGTATGTAGCTTTGTAGAAGTGGTCGGGAAACCCGTAGAAGCTGGCCCAGTCAGCCCATCATCATGCGATGCCCCAGCCTGGACGTGCGTACTCGTAGATCAGGTCCGTGAGGAGCGCATCGTTGACGAGGATTGTATCCTCGCCGCCCATCCAATGCGCAGAAAAGACAACGACGGCCTTGGGCTTGACTCTCTGTGTGATTTCCTTGCCGATGCGCTGCAGAACGGGGTAGACGGGGTGCGTTGTGTTGTACTGGACATCAGGCTACGCAGCGTCAGTACAACCCGCGACCGGCCTCATCGGCTGGCGAATCTTACACCGCCATGGCTGAAGAAATAGACGGGCGTCTTTGATGGGGAACGGTTGGGCTTGGATTCAGCGACCGAGTTGATCCAGCTGGCCGGGATGGACAGAAGCTGGGGGACAAAGAGACTTAAGAGTCCGACAAAGGCCGAGACAATGGCGATTGACCGGAAGGGGATGTTAGCCATGCTGATCCGGTGGGCGATGACGTGAAAAGTAACAGATTCTTTAATGTTTCGAGCTAGAATGGACGTAATATGTAGTTGGCTTGCTGGGTGTAAATTGAAGCAGAAACGCTATTGCATTCAACTGGGCTTCAAATTCTCCCATTGACGCTACGGAGCAGACTTATATAACAATTACAAATTATCTGTAATCCAAGTTGCGCCTTTAAAGGCACCCAATTGGATATTTACAAGCATAAATAAGAAGAAAGAGAGACTTCCTATGAAATGGTATTAAATCATTACCTAAAACACGATGATCCCATTGCAATTGTAGGGTAGGCCGAGATCAGAAGCAACGCAGCGTGGGGAATATGAGTAACTTTAATGGAGCCTCATTCCAATCCGATGTAGTCTAACGGCTAGGACGGTGTGCTTTCACCACGCAAGTCGGGGTTCGATTCCCCGCATCGGAGTCGATGATCAACAATTGTCAGTTCTTCTTTTGCCATGGCGGCTTACTTTTTTTTTGTTGCCTACAGGTCAGCTATATCAGGCTTTGCTAGATGTGCGGAGCCACACCTTTCTACGGCCAGTCTTTGGGCCGCATATACCCTACCTAATTCTGTCCTACCCATTCGCCGCAACACAAGTCTACATCCATTGAAAATCCTTATTATTTTTTACATCTAAGCAATCTTCCTGACTCGCAATCCTCACAGTCTCTTTCTTGCTGTACCGATTCGTCTATTCGCCAGCTTACCTAATTCCACTAAGCTGCTACTCCCCCCTGGCCCGGACAAATAATGGACCAGCCGTTGCTATAGCACCTCGACCGCCCTAAAAACGATCAAACATCAAAAAGTAACGGCTCAGCGCCTGACGAGAGCCACGTGCAGAACAAGGAGCTGCAGAACGAATCCATCCCCCATACATATCGACGACGACGACGACGACGACGAAGACATAAGCGCACGCAGCCCCCCAATCAAGCAGCCATGCCCCTCATCCTACACAACGTCCCCGACGATGAATGCTACGTCGGCGATGACGGCGTCAAGCGCCCCTACGCCATGATCTTCAACCAGTACGTTCCGCCCCCCGGATCCGAGGACCACCTCAGGCTTCGAAAATGCTGACTCTACGGGCTAGACAGGACGGCCACGCAGGCTCGACGCGCTCGCGCCGCAACGTCGCCGAGACGGGCTCCTTCGGCAAGTCGACACGGCGCTCGCGCTCCCGCACCGGCACGCCCGCCCGCTCGCGAGAGAACCCCACGCTCGCGGCAGCAGACAAGATCTTTGGCGACTGGGTGTCGAACCAGACGGCCGCCTCCTCCTCCAGCGCGGCCGCCAGCGCCGCGGGCACCCTGCAGCGCAAGTCGAGCAACCTGATGCAGGAGGAGACGCCCGCGGCCGCCGGCGGCGCCACCATGTCCTCGCCCGTCGAGATGATCCTGCGCGGCTTCCGCTCCTCACAGCAGCAGTACGCCGCCATCGCGCACTACGAGGCCCTCGCCGGCACCATCCTCGAGGACTACCCGCGCGACCCCCCCGCCTCGCAGCGGCGCTACAAGTCGGAGCTGCGCGACCCGGCGTTTACGCGACGCAGGGTCCTGACCCCCGAGGAGAGGGCCCTCGTCAACCGCGCCGACGGCGGCGAGCACTGGATCAAGGTGACCTTTGAGAGCGCAGAGGCGGGCGATGCCGCCGTCTTTGCCAGCCCCCAGCGCGTCCTTGGCTACCTCGTCCACGCGGAGCCGTATAGGGGCCTGGCTCCCGTGGACGAGCCCTGTCCCGACATGGACGCCTTTGAGAGCGAGCACCACCGGTCCAGGAGTGTCCCTGCGTTTGGCACGCCCAAGCGAAAAAGCGGCGGCATGCCAACCTCCTTCAACAGCCGCCTCCTCGACCTCTCCCCCTCAGACTCCCGCACCTCCAGCCAGACCCTCGAATCGGGCACTCTGATGGGATCTCATGTCTCTACCGATACCCTCACCTTCCAGGCCCCCGCCGCCGCTGCCTCAACAGGCATTGAGCCCATGGAGATCGAAGACGACATTTTCTGCCGCCGCATCCCAACGGCCAAGCGAGCACGTCTCCTCCCCGCCGAGCAGGCCCTCCTCCCCCAGCAGTCGATCGTCCAGCGCTTCATCAACGCCATCCCCTTCGTCAAGTGGTTCGGCGGCAGCATGATCGGAAACGAAGTGCCGCGCAACGAGGCCGGCGAGTTTGACTGGAACAAGGCCAGCTTGTACTGGAAGATGGTCTGGTGGCTCGACGCCACGTTTGGCCTCTTCAAGGGCGACGTCTGCAGCGTCGACAAGGACGACTAGAGCGCAGCAAAACACTTTTCCCAGAGGCACATGTCGGCGCTTCCACGACGAGGATGCGTCGTGCCGCCAGGCTACTAATGTTCTAGAATGCATGAATTTGGCGTTTCGGCGAAGGCAGCTTATTAAGGAGCGGGTGGGCTACACACGGGCAACACGGACGGCGGCGGGATGCTGATGAGTCCATGTGCAAAAGCCCCGGATTTTCATGGTTTTTTTTCTTCTTCTTGATGGGTTCGGGTTTTTGTACAGTATAGCTGCTAATGTATACAAGAAGACTAAAGAATTATTGCCGTCCCGCAATGCCTGCCTATACAATAATTGGGTATGATGCCGTGATGGCATAGAAACGCCATGAAGCCTCCTGTCTAAACCATTCTAATCCGTGCCCTGGCTCCTCTCACACACAGTGTCTTGTTGGACCGACGCAATCCCTTTATTGACTACTCCACCGTGCTTCGTCGTGTACAAAGCCGACAGAGTGATCGACAGTATCTACTTGAGCCGACTTGGATCTGTCATCACGAGCCCACGGCTCCTCCTCATCCCGATCATGCTCATCGTCATCGTCATCCTCCTCGTCTTCCTCCATGAGTGGTTGCCTCCCCGCATCGCTCGCCTCTGCCGCCGCACCCAGCGAGTCAAACGTCACATCTGTCGGTATGGGCCGGATCGGCTGCGGAGAGAACGGGCGGGCGTTGCGCGGCTTGTTGAAGTCGGCGGAGAAGACGCTGTCGTTGTCGCCGGCGGCCCGCTGCTCGGCAGCCACGGCCGCGAGAGACTGATAGCGCTCCGTGTCGACGAGCAGGCTGTCGCTCCTTGCGTGGCCTGCGGGGCGGGACATGTCGGATGCGGAGTCGGCCAAGATGCTCTTGGGTGGCAGGATGGAGAAGAGCTTGGCCGTGTCGGCGCTCGAGACGCCGCTCATGTGGTTGGGTTCCTCGGGGGCGAACAGGTCCTGGCCCTTCTCGAGGAGGTCGTCGAGGCCGCCGCCGCTCCAGCCCTTCCTGGCGAGGCTCTCAAAGATGTCCACCTCGGCGCGGACGAGGCTGCAGCTCGCGTCCACAATGCGCCCGCTCGTCTCCTGGCTCTCGCGCAGCATGGTGGTGGCGTGGTCGCCGTGCAGCGTAGTTAGGCCGTCGAGCTGTGTCGTCAGTTCGACAAGGTGTGCACGGAAGCGGCCAACGTCGCGGCGGCGCTGCTTGTGCAGCTTCATGCCCTCCTTCTCTAGACGCTTAATCTCCTTGCTCTGGGCCTTGATCTTCTGCTGGTACGTCTCCTCCTCGTCATCGATGACCGTCTGCCACTTGTCGAGGTCGTGCAGGAGGGGCACCTCGAAGGATCGGTAAACAGTCTCGGAGAGGATCTGCTGGTGGTTGGCAATGAGCTGGTGGACGCCCGAGGCGGAGAGGAGCATGTCGGCGGTGCAGGAGCCCTTGGTGGTGAAGCTGACGCTCATGCTGGCGCCGCTAGGGGGGCCGATGGGCTCGGCGCGAGCCTCCTTGAGCCGGGCGCATGCCTCGAGGGCAGAGCCAAAGGCAGAGGCGGCGGTGGACAGGGAGGCGAGGGCGAGGCGGTAAGCCTTTGCGGAGGTGACGAGGTCCGAGTAGGCCTCCTGGGAGCGCTCAAGGTCGGCGCGGGTGAGGACGGCGTGAGCAGGTCTCGGGGGCGGAGGGAGCGGGAGGTTGAACTGGGAGAGCGGGTTCGCCGTGGATGCGACCGAGTAGACGGGCGAGCCGGGCACGGCGGGCAGCTGGGAGGGCGTCGGCGACGTGGGCCGAGACGTCTGTGGCGATGCCATGGCCACCGACGGGATGGGAATGGGAGAGGGAGGGGCTTGTTGGCGAGGAGGTGGTTGAGGAGGGGGAGAGGTAAATCTTGTTTACTTGGACGAGTAATTAAGGTCAACACTAGGTTTGATAACAGTATGCACGTGGAGGCTTATCAGACCCGACGCAACTGGGTCGCCTAGGCTAACTTTTTAGTGGATTACAGGGGGGAAGCCTCAAATCCACGAAATTAGTGACATGATCCCAACCGCGAGAGGCGCCCAGCAAATATAAAGATGGAATAAATGAATAGACGAGGAGTGGAGGCGTAGAGACGAAAATCCAAACAAGCTTGTCGAGGCCTCGAAGATTCGAAAAAATTCCGGGTCGTCGTCACGCACATGCACGCTATCCAAGGCCACGGGACCCCGGATGGGGATGGATAAAGGTCATGCAATGGAACCCTGGTAACGGGAAGCATGCAGATATGACGCTTGCCTGTAGGGCGTCTGGTGGGTTGCACTAGGCTGCTGACCTCGATCTCGTCTGTCCGTCCTTTTTCTCGATTGGTCGCTGGGATGACACTTTCATCTCGTCATTCACAAAGAGATAACGCCTTTGATTGTTTCTTATATCCCCAGCTCCTTGCATTATCAGCATGTGATAACAGCATTTTCTGTGTATTGAATCACCAATTTATAGATATTCTCCACCTTGGAACAGGTGGACATACCGAAACTCTGCAACTCGATCGGGCTGCAATATTAACTAGGCAAATAATCTATCCAAGGCATACAGGTTTTGTATGATATAGTAGGCGCGTGCAGTGAGGAAAAAGAACAATAGTGCATGCGAACAATAATGGTTGACCAAAGAACGGAGTCAAACAATGAGGGGATTGTCAGACTACTGACATCACCTGTTGGCTGGAGCCAGAACACATGTTTTGTATAAGAAGAGTTTCCTGTTTCATTGAGTTTAGTACTAATAACGTACTAACTAAGAGTAATTTGAGACCGTAGAGGACACGGGTTGACGGTCAGTCGTTTTAAAGACTAAAGTGAAATTGATAGCTGTATTGAATATCTTGGCCGCGCAGATACCATCTATGCCGCGTCAGTCGCACGCCAAACCACCCGCCTCTACCGGAAGATGATGGTCCTGAACAGTTTCCACGACCGACGATGCTTAAGAACCCCCACTGGAATTACATGCATTCTCGACAATCACAAGTAATGAGTAGCACGAGCTGCGCTGCAAGGTCCAGGCGCCCATCTTAGCTTAGAAACGGGAACCGGCAGGCAGTTTTGTCCTCATGATGCCGTGTCTTGCTGCCAAGGATGACGTTGGCGCGGTCTTCCTGGCTGGCACAGGG